GTTGTACTTTCAGAATTAAAAATTTATGTTGCATTCACGCAATTTTTCCGAGAATTATTACATAAAATATGTAAAAGTTATTTTTACTTTATACATATTTGAAATCAAATAATTCGAAATGAGGATAAGAGAAAGTTTACATGAAGATAAAGAAGGAGAGATAATTTATATACTCTGGAAAAGCGACAAAAGTGGAGCAACAATAGCATCTCTAGGAGCAAAGATGAAAGGTCGGAGGAGAGAAGTATTAGGCAGAGACTTATTACTTCAGTAATTACTACTAATAGCCACCCCCTGAGTAGCGAGAGCAAAAGGAGGTAGTTCTATATTATCCCATACTGTCCGGAAGTACCTGAGAGAATTCCATGTTGGTAAACATCCGGATCATAAATTTTTCTAGGATTCCGTGGAATTTTCGTGCACTTTACGAGATCCTCGCTGGCGTTTTACATCGCTTCATACTGCGAGGCGTTAAAGCTAAGAGGAAATGTTATCGTGAGAGGATGATGGACCAGCGGAGAAATAAGCTTCTTATGATGAAGAGAAGAGACAAATAACGACATTGTTTAGGATTTTACGCATGCACATGACTGTCCCGAGAGAGAGTTCAATATGTCAAAGTTTACTACACTCATATCGAACGGTGTTTGTTATTCGTGTCATATTTACTCATAACTTTGTTATGCGGTTGTATATCTTTACGCGAATAATAAAAAGAATTGAATAAATGGATTATACACGTCGCCATTTCTTTGACACGATAAATATAAAAATAATTTAATTATATAAAAGTTAATTGTTTATTTCAGTGCATTTATTCATAAAACACTGCAACTCTCTCTTGCTATGAGAGTCACTATATGATAACGATATCTCCCGGAGGTAGCACACAATATAGGCACACATTGAATGGTTGGTGCGTGATTTATGATCTGTCTCTATCGCGTCCTTATTTCCTTACCTCGTTGTCTCTATGCAACCAATCGGCTTATGCTTCTATAACAGATATAATTTGCCTCTTCTTGCAGTGATTTCACGAAACTATTGACATAATATTATGATACACACAGTTAAATGGAATTTTAAATTAATTTAAATATATATTTCATATTTTTATACTTATATCTGTATTATTTCACTTTTACTGTATTATATTATATTTAAATATTTTTTATTCAATAAATAATTCCAGAATATTTCTCCAAAATTTGTACGTACGTAACACATCTACTGTTTTTAAAGCTACTTCAAACATATCAATTGCAGCAGGGAAAAAAAAGAAGATACATTACACATGAAGATCTCTCGCTTAAAGCCTCGCCTAAAACAGCCCGTTTCTGTCCTCGACAAAATCTGTGCGATAACGTTGAGTAGTACTAGCAAACTCGTTGGACGGAATTGCGGGACGTAGCTAGACATCGAATAGCTCTCGTGTGATTTACAGTCTAGCCCTATCAACGTCCTGGCCTTTCGTCATGCTACCCTTCACATGCCCTGCTAAGCCGGAAGACGAGCGTTTCTATGAAATAGAAACATCTTGCTGGGTTTCGCGCGGCATAAGCCAACGCTCGAGATATATTTTATAGGGTAACATTTCCCTGACGGTGCTGCCGTGTAGAAACACCCGCGGAGGAGTATCCCATACATCAGGGTTGCACCTTGTCTCTTAACGCAGCGACTCTCAATGGCGAGCGACAGCTTTGAATAAGAAATACATATAATCCGCGAAGAAGATAATATATCATGGTTGATTATCTTAGATTATTTAGATATCTTTTATGAGATGAAATTCTCGTGTTTTAATAAAAACACAAAAAAAGATTAAATGACGTCGGAATTTTTCCGTAATTTTTATTTAGCTTGAATATGTATCTCGTTTGCTTTAAAAAGTGACTCTTAAAAAGAATATGAATATATGAACTTTCACTTGCATTTTGTAAAACTTTGAAACCTCTCTGCTAGTAAAAAAAAAGATTCCGAAAGATAAAACTTGAGAGCCATTGCTTCCTTTCTCTTTCTTAATACTTCTATCCTTTAATGTTTTTCTTGTTTCTTTTACAGTTATTTTTTTCTTCTTGTCTCATTCATTCTAAACATACCGTTCGTATCCTGACCTACTCTAGCAAACTCTTACCAAGTCTGTCGTCTTTGCGATTACTGTCACGCACGTCCTATATGTCTTGAGATACTTCCTATAGCTTCTCTTTATGTTTAAAACGACTGCATTTTGTTATCAGAGAAGCATGATTAAAACATTATGTCTCATTTTCTTTAACAGATTAATAAATTATTTTGCTGATATCTTAATGATATTTTTTAACCATGTCTTATTCCAATTTAATTCTCTTTTTTTTGCGTAAATGGTCCACTGGTTTATTATTTACAATCACTGATTTCTATTGTCTTACCGCCTAATTAAGTTCTTAATGAGCCGCGAGCAAGTTGCGAATCAGAACATAATACCTGTGCTTTCAACACCCAAATTCGGAGAGGGGCTAAATAACATCTTCGACGCAGGCAACCGGTAGACGATACTGCGGCTGCTTCAGATCGTAATATCGCTTTAATTATGTGCGCCGTATTTGCGCCAGGTCGCGTTATTAATTTCGGGTCCTCACGCCGAGAGACTTACCGTTACGACCTCAGGGGTTATGTCGGATCCCAGGAACTCTCTAGCAGGAACGTCGGGCACGGAGACGTACCGTCAGAGGATGGGTGTGTGAACCCTCCCCGGAATACACGTCTGCACGTACGATGCATCCGCCTAGCGCAGCATACGGCTCATCTTCGAGATGTTATTGCGCGAGCGTAGCCCATCCCTCGTCCTGCCGTATGTAAATTATTTCGGGCGCTAAATTAAACAGGTGAAACGGTGTTACGCGATAAGTTGGCGTGAACAGAATTGCTCGACGAAATATCTCCGTTTTAGGATGTTTACGACGGTTAGAGTTTTCGGATTCGTGACGTTGACACAGACGCTGGCAAGCTAGTTGGTAGCAATTGCGAGTTTGGAATTACTGTTCTTTTTGCGCGATAAGAACAACAATATCCGAGATATTCGCTTCAATTTAAGTTGTCTTCGCCAACAAAAGTTCTGATGTGACCGAAGTACCACGTGATGAAAAGCAATAAGTTTCAATGATACTCATGTAGAACGTTCGTATTTCTCCAATAATTTGTAATGTACATAAAATGTAAAAAGTCAAGACACATATATAGTTATTTAAACGATTTATATAAATGTAAAAATAATAATGTTCATAATATTCCAAAACTGGGAATTAAAGCAATAGAAAAAGAAATTAGATATTCTATATAACGCGCGCTGTTTATCATATCTATTAATTAATTTTACAACTTCTTTTATTATTTACGTAGGTATTTAAATCATCCATGAATGATATCAATCTTCTTCTTATCTATCTCATGTTTATCGCGGCATTGATGCTATTTTCAATTATCAATTGTTTCTATCACCATCGCTGTTTCTTGGAACAGGTACATACATACCGCTTACAGCCTACGACTGTAGCTAGATCGCACTTTATTATTTTTCACCGATGTAATTTTTCCTCGTTTTCCAGACAGTTTGGCCGGGCGTCTCGCGGAAAATATCCCCGCGGATTGCGGTCGCCGTGCAAAATAAATAATCCCTCCGTCGCTTCCGTTTCTCGTTTCGTTCCGCTTCGCGTGTCACGTGTCTGTTCCATTTTTATTGCGACGAAGCCACCTCGTTACATCGACCCGCGTATCTATTTATTTTTAAAAAATTGTATGCGCTTTTATTTCGTCCATTTTTGAATGCATAATGCGATGTGCAGAGATTTCATTAGACTGTAAAAAATAATAACGTTCGTAATACTCTGAAACTGCGAATTAAAGATTGAAGGCAGTAGAAAAAGAAATCAGATATTCAATAAAATATGCGCGGTATCAGTTAATTCTATAACTTTTATAATTATTTATGTTAATGAGATTTCATTTTTTATCATACCGCAGTGCTTTAAGATGCTTACGTTATTACAATATGCTTCTAGACGGCAGTCGAAGTTCTCGGATAAAGCAATTAACGAACAAATGCGAATAGAGTTGAAGTTTCGCCAATCGCTTTCTCTTACGCAACTCATTTTACTTGCCGAACTGTTATGGCTACTTAGAATACATTATGAAGACGTAGCGACGCCGCATACTGCCGACTGCGAACTTTACTTGTTGCAAGTATCTACGCTATATTAAAGTCTTGGCCACAAATTATCTCGACAGATACAATACTGATTTAGGTTCTTGGAACACTATTGATTGAAATTACATTAAGTATTATTCGAATTTTCTATTCATTATGTGAATTCGTGTATTTCAACGTAAATTAATTAAATATAATTATAGTTATAACATAAGTTATTGTATTCATAAATTAGAATTGTAAATAAGAAAGAATTAAGAAAGAATTAATTTTTTATATATATGTGTATTTATATCTGTAATTGCAAGGATTGAAAGGAAGTAGAAATTCGACTAAGGGAAATGTTTTGAATATCTTCCTAATGTGCATAAACTTTCGAGTGTTCTAGGTTGCCACGTAACGAGAATTTACGAATGATTGTCACTTATTGGAAGACTATCGATTTGAAACTTATGGAAAATTCTTTATCAATTTTATCAATAAAGGAGATCTAACTGTGATGATAATTTAATACAAAATTACTATAAGTCTTTTTATTTAACTTAACAAATAGATATAAAGTTCTCAGAATTTCTCTCTATTTCTATTTTTTTCTTTCTTTTACAAATTACGCTAAACAGACAGTTACATGTGTCATTTTTTATAATCTTAAATTATATAATCGATTTTGCATGCACAATATGTAATATTAAATATTGGCTCTATGAGCCAATATTACAATAATGTAGTAAATTGTTTATTATAAAGAATACTTCGAGTTCTTTATTATGAAACACACACTTGTTTTGTGAGACATATCTATATTTATTTCCTATTTCTTTTAAATTCAGATCAAATTGCTTTGATTAGAGCCCTTCAATTAGTGAATTAGATTTTAATTAATATATCTAATCTTTTAAAATCCAAATAAATTTGGCATCGCGACTGCGCCTGCCCCAATCTCCGTCACGTGTGAAAGTATCATTTTAATGTTCTTTTTAATCTTATTATTGATCTCTGATTTCATCAGCAAATATGTGAATAAACCCTTAACAAATTTCCCTTGTGTCTTATATTTTTCAAAATCAAAGTCCTCGTTGTCTTGAAGAAGATTAGGATTTTGAGCTAGATATGTTATTACATCATTATACGCTAATTTTTCTTTATATGACAATTGATCGAAGTTCACCGTCTTCTGAATCATGTCTCCTACTTGTACTTCAGCCTTAAATACGTACGTTTCGACCCACATCCACATGATGGGCAGAGCACCCAAATCGATGAATTCTACTTTGTCCTTGTAATACCTAAATGCTTTCAGAACACTTTTATCGATATTTATTGTACCGGACAATGAAATACGAATAATTTTATGCAATAGTTCTCCGCGAGACATGGTTACTGGTGGTTTAGCTATATTTAATTTTTCCAAAAGAGTTGGATCATCGAGATATTGCTCTATCTCTTCCATCATTGTCGTTTCAGTATCGGTCTCAGGTGTTGGAAGAGCAGAAATCAAACTCGTTAGTTCAGGTAACCACTGACCTGTAGTTTCAGATTTCATGTTCACGAAACGATCTTCAGATACTTGAATGCTTATCGATGGTAGTTCAAAAGCTTGTAAATAAGAATCAATTGCGGATTTCAGTTTTACATTTGCTTGAATTATTTTACTTTTCTGTAGCTTGTGCAAGAGCGTTATCAGAAGTGTAATTTTATTTGGATACACCAATGGTTGAAAATCTGGTCCAAGTATTTCCGCAATTTTTTTAAATGTGAAAATCATTCTGATAGGTTGTATTGTTTTCGCAAGTATATCTCCTTTTTCCAAAGTAGGCAGCAGATCAACGTAAGGATTAGATGGATTTATAGATTCCAACAATATTTTAGGATTGACGAGAGGTACAGTGATACTGTCAGGTAATGATTCATCAGGTGGATTTTCGCTAATTGTACCTTGGGTTAAGTCATCTGGGTTAAACGTAGAATATATAATATCTGATAGCAACTTCTTTGACGAAACTATGACGGGTAATAATATCGTTGGACTCACATATTCTATACTGACAATGTATTGATTAATTACGTTTGTCAATTGCGAATTCTGTGTTACTTCCGGATAAGTTATAGCTTCTTTAAGTATTGCTGACAATAATGCAATATTTGTGGGATAATGTTTTATATTCACATTCTTCAGGATTTTCTTAATATAATTTTTACCAAATATAATAGATAATGGTTGTAACACTTGAGTTACTATTGGTGAATCACTACTTTGCATGAACTTATCTATATCCGGCGGTTTTAGAAGTTCCTTGATATCTGGTAAAACGACTTCAGGTTCCATTGTGTTATAATCATCACTCGTCGTTGCAATTGGGACGTTACTATTAAATAGGTATACTCTAAGAGGCTGATCAGTTTCTATAGACGGAGGTAATACTATCGCACTTGATACGACGTTCTCAGAATGCACTTTTTTTTCAATGCTGTCTAATAATTGTGATTTAATATGTTTAATTACCCTTGGTTTAGTTTTAGTAGATTTCTTCGTTGTGACTTCTTTAGTTATTTCTTCTTTAGTTATTTCTTCCGATAAAGAAGTTTGATCTTCACTTTCTTTACTTGTATTCGGTGATTTTTTTTTACCGTAAATTATTTTTGAAGACGGAATATTTATATATTCCTCTATTATATTACTATCATCAACAACACGATCGGTCGGTATAAATGTTGAGTATCGCGGCTGCATTTTTCGTGGTTTCTGCGTCGGATAATAAGTTCCCAAAGAAGGAACATCAGATATTAATGTTAACGAAGGTTTCAAAGTTAATGGTCGATTCGATATACGTTCTCTAGGTTCATGTTCAGTGATGTGTTTTTGGGTGAATTTTGGCTGGTTGACTTTTGACAGGGTGACTTTTAGTTTGGGGATTTTTATCTCTGTGATATGCATTTGATCTATCATTGGCGATACCATCTTTGGTTCTGTAAAATCGATTTCTGTAGCAATTCCTGTTTCCCATCCTACAGTTTCAACTTGCAATTCATTTTGTACAGCGGGACCAGTTTTATCAACATATTTATCTAAGTTCCATACGTACGAAACTCCGTTGATGCTACCTGAAGGTACATTATTTGTATACATATTATCTGTCTTTATTGTCACTGCGATTGGATTCTTCCGATCCCGATTTAGATAGAGATTTACATCTACTGGTTTTATGGAATATTGTATAGTACGGCTTTCTTTTAGTTGCTGAGGCTGTGAAGTTGTTTTCAGAATATACGCTATGTTTTGAATTTTTGTCGTTAAAGTCAAGGATATATTATTTTGTAATTTTGATACTTGCTGGAATGTATTCACCAAACACTGTTTTGGTGTTTCACACTTCTCTTTTTCTGTTGGTATTAAGGTACTCAAAAGTACAGATAATTTTGGCTTTGAAATTAACTCAAGTTTTATGGAATCTACTGTTGACTGAAGTACTTGATCCACGTCAGAGATCTGCACAGATTCTAAAAGTATCAATACATCAATTTCGGGTGACACAAACGGTGTGAAAATTCTAGAATACTTTTTCATGAATATAGCTGATAGCAAAGCTGAAGCCAATTGTTGTACTGAATTAGTATTTGGAGAGCTTAGAACGCGATTTATAAGTCTTGTTAGAAATGCCAATAGAAGATCTAACGGATCGTTGTAGGCAAATTTGTTGAATCCCTTAAGAATTTTAGTTATATCTTCGTTTCTGTAATTGCGTATGAAGTACGTTAGTAAACGATCTTTCATACGAATTGTATCTTCATCAAATTCTTGAGGAATAACGGCAGAAAGCAGCAATCCTATATCTATATCTTTTTCCAGCAAATGATGCATATATTTTAAGTTGGAATCAAGATAAGTTGGAATCGTTATAATCTTCAAGTGATGATATACGTAAGACGTAGAATCCTTTACGACCATTTGTACGTTTGAATTAAGAATTTTGGTTAAGATAGAAAAAACAAGTGTATAAGCATCATTGTCAATGGAATTTTTCCTGATTGAATCCCAATCATTACTATCGATGATATTATTTCTTGTTAGATCATACAGATATCTGACGTTTTCTTCCAGTACGGGATCCTCGCTAAGGTTTGGTAAGTTTATCAGTATCAAACCGAATAGTTCTTGCGATAAAGATAGCTTTTTTGTTTGTAAATTATAAATAAGTTTGACAAATACTGGACCAAGAGCTTTCTGGGTGATATTTGAATTTTCATCGTATCCTATCATTTCTTCGTTTCTAATTCTATTTGTTGACAGCGTGTTTAAATCAATGTCGGCAAGATAATCAAATGTCTCAGATTTTGTTGATTTTAGTAAAGTATTTAAATCAATTCTGTTCCATTCTATTTCATTGGCTAAATATTTAGCCGTACATTGAATGTAAAATGGTAGATTTTTTATCAGCGATAACAATACGATTCTTGTCTGTTGATTTTTATCTGTGATGTCCAATTTAGGTAAAATAGGTAATAAATTGTACATATAAACCATTTTCTTCTTGAGGAATTGATAAAGCGTTTCCAAGGATGTATGTTGTTCTTCCGTCAAATTGTTTTCACGGCCGTAAAGCAAGTACGAGAAGATATAAAGTATATTATCACGGAACGTCACTGATAGTTTTAAATTCTCTATTACTGCATTCTTTTTAGTTTTGCCATTTGAAACATTTTGATCACTTATTAATTGATATTCATAGCTATATTGTCCGAATAATGTCATCGGATTCAATGATCTTCGTACGACGCCGAAGTCCGAAAGAGAATGTAGTAGAACATCATTACTTGGTTTGTACTCAATTGCCTTCAATCAAAAACATCTTTTATCGTTATACTAAATTACGATATACAATAAAATTCATGTATATAATTTTGTTATTATCCTATTTTAAGATTATTATATAATTTTGAAAAAGACTTATATTTTCACTTACTTCTTTTTTTAATTTGGTACCGTGTTTGCCCTGAAAATGAAAGAAGTCACATTATTATTATTACTACATTTTACCTAATAAAATATTAATAAAATACCTAATAAAATATAGTAGATAATTCGTTTTTAAAATTTAACAAATTTTAACAATTTTTTCTGCTTTAGTTATTTATACAGATTATCGAAATTATAATATATTCGTATCTAAAAAATAATCGCTATATTGTTTCTAGTATTATATTATTATCTAGTATTATATTATTTCTAGTATTATAATATTTTTGTTAAAATGTTAAAAATCTATGTCGACAATAATAAACTTACTGCTGAAAATGCACATCGCACGAATGCTGTTCCAGTTGTTACGATAAAAATAATAGTTATTACATTGTTCACTATCATTTTAAAAATGATGGCCAAATCAGATCAAATGGAATTGTATAAAATATTCGATTGTTGTTTAACGTGTAAAACGTTTCACGTTACACAATATTTCGTTAGATTTTAAAATCATGCTTGCAGCGCATCACGAAGACTGAGATAAGTTTTAACGAGGGCGGTGCCTTTATATGGCATAACAATCGAATTGACGTGGTTAGAATTATGTAGATGCATATACGCGACCACCGGCTGAGAATGAATAAGCTTAACAGGCGCATGTTATTGCTAACTGATAATTAAATTTTATTGTTCCATACGTCGGTATTCCCCTTCCACTAGTTCCTTCGATTTGGTTGGTCTGAGCTGTTGCATCGAAATGAGATACGGTTATTTGATTTATTATTCTTGATATCATCTTTAAACGACCCAGATGTTATATTACTTTTATATTACAAAGAGATTATGCTACTATTGAATTTCTATCGCAGAATTTAATCCTCGGATTGTCGATTCGATTTGGTTATAACAAAATATAAACTTTTCAAAACTAGCAATACATCGTGGCAGATGGTATTTAATTATTAAACAACACACGATTAGGAGCCGCATATTTTTTATCCGCAAATCATACGTTGACTCTGATGTTGTATTACATATAAAAAAATGTATCAATTCGATCTTTCAATAGATTAAAAATTGATCACTGTATGATTGCATGAGAAACAATATAAATATTTCATGTCGGGAAATATACACAGAATAAATATGAATGCTGGAAAAATACGAAAACATTGGATCAGCTTTGTTTGAAAAATTCGCTCATCAAAAATCAGGTTTTGCGGCATTGTCATTGATGCATCAAAATTTCATTGGTTTCATTGTTATCTCACGGATTGTTTTCAATATCTTTTCGAAGAGATTTCTTCCTCGTGCTTTGATTTTATGCGAGAGCTGTCGTACTAAACATTCTTTTTATTAAAAATAATAAAAATGATTTTAAGACCAGAGAGAACTAGTTTTTACATCATCCTTTGAGCAAATTTTTCTCAGATATTTACGCATGTACACACATGAATATTCGCGTAAATCAATTTTTTAATGTAACATTACATAAAGTTCTTATTATCGCAATAATTGATTAACTAATATATCCAAATTAATAATCATCCTTACAGAAGTTATTGTAATCATGAAAACGTATAAGATAACGTAAATAACGCTCATATAAATGCAATATTTAATGTGCGACACCTTATAGTCTTATTTACAAGTTCTAAGTCATTTCATATCTTTTCTAGACATACAGTTTGAAACGAGATACTCTGGTAGCTACGCGCGACAAAGCTCACTGCTGTTCTCCTCTGATTGAGCACGGTATATTTTTACTCGACTGGCCAATAAAACCGAAGCTGACAATCTACTATGTCCCCTAATAAATGACAACAGATAACGTGCGACCGAAAGGGTCACACTGTCGTGAACGATAAGGTGGCAGGACAATGACGAATAGGCCTTCGCTGGATGGTTCGCGGAGTTTCCGTGGCTGCAATTCCATCGACGATGCAGCCGGCTGCCACTATCATATACGTACCAGGGGCAATTCCGATAGGTGATCCATTATCTTAAGCGGCATCGAGCAATCGATTCGCGCCGCATCTCGGCCGAGCGCTTTTTCAGGACTTTCGCGCACTGTAACAGCTCTCTTCCACTCTCTTTCTATTGCTGTCCCTTTTATTCTCGTGTATACGTAATTTTTTTGGATTGACTTGCGAAACGCGCGCACAACTGCATATTGCACTTCTATATTGTTTCCATCGCTCGTCCGTAAGGTCGACCTGTCGGGATTGGGATTGAACGATGCGCAAATACGGCAGCTCCGCGAGAGAGCTAAAAGCTCACGCGTTTTTGGAAAGGTATCGTTTTTCTTGCATTTTCACGGAAGAATGAGCTTCTATTTATTCTGCGGAGATTAATGATGCTGTTTGTCGGCGATAAAATAGCTCCACAATACTTAACGTATTATTCTGTTTGAAAAATAAGGATCGTGTATAATCAGGATTGTATGTAAAATAGAGTTTCAAAGCTACTGCTGGTGCTGCTGCTGCTGTTCTGCTTTCGCAAAAACTTTTGCGTCATGATAGTAAAATTAATCGATGTAAACAACTTAGAACATACGAACGTTAATATTTTATCAAAAGTATTTGGTGATATGCGCACATTATGCTGTCATATAAGTGACATTGTTTACTCTTATACAATAAAAAATATTTTATGAGAAAAATATTTGGAAAATATATGAAGTCTTATGACTCTGAAATGGTACACCTCTTTTAGCAATCGCATTTTACTAAAAGATATGAATAGATATTTATTATCGCACACATACACGTGGTATACTAAATGTATTGAACTATAATATATATATATATTTTCATGAGAGTCAATATTTTTTATGACAGAAAGTCATCATCCGTTTTAATAATTTATTTTGTGAAACATTTTCAATCAGTAGTATCATAAAAAATTTTATGACAAAATAACTGAGATAATTCTAGATGTCAACAATATTGACATTCCTCTCTGGCAATATATTGTATAAATAATGCTGTTTACTCTTACAAACTTGTCAAGATAATGATTAACTGTCATCAGATAAATTTTACATTATAAATCAGCAACAAGAAAAATAGTTTTTTCATGTAGCTTGTCTCTTTTCCTGCATCACAGCGATACGGGTCAAAATTTATTAAGCTTCGTATCTTGATCAAATAACGCTTTTGATTGTTTTGTGAAATTGAAGAAAAACTCTAGTTAGGTTTTTTTTTTTACCGTAGATATTTTTATTCATGGATAGCAACCCGATTGGACGCTTCTGCCGTACTATAAATTCCACTGCTCGATTGCGAGAATCGCTTTTGGAGATTACGATTGATCGACGTTTGCCGAAACTTAAGCTTTTACGATACCGAAGAAATTCTACAAATTTTTATAAACGCTTTATGTTCCAACTTTCTGAGCGTGGATTTCACGTTGACCCGGATATTGATTTTGTAAAACTTGTAATCAAATTTTGATTCGGGATATGAATTATAATAAGAAATCTTGTACAACAGAATTACTTTTGAGCAAAATCACCGATAATAAATTTTATTTTTTATTCAAGATTTTAAACCCGCTAACAGAAATAATCACTAAAAAGGGAATATTTTCCATATTATATATAAGCTCACCTTAGACGCTTATTCGCACATACACATATCATACATATGTGCACACATTTACACAAATCAATTTACTCATGATCCCACATTACACAAAGTTCTTATTACCGCAGCGGTTAATTAGCGTGAGTAAACCACCGCGGATATTATCCTTTAAGTATCCAGCAAGCTAACATTGCGAGAAATTAACTACTGCGGAGTTTGTCGCTGTTCTTTTCCATTGTAATATCGCTATGGTATCGTATGCTAGAACTTTCTTCATAAAAGAAATTAAATACCGCTACAAATGACCATTGCAATGTACTTTCTGTACCGATTATATCATATCAATTTCGAACGTCTTAATAAATTTAAATTTCTTTTCTATTCTGTGTTCACAGGTTGCGGAAGTATTGCGCCGAAATCTACTTGGGGCAAAGTTGCTACAATGGGTTACGCCAGTCTTGGGATACCCTTAACCTTGGTCTACCTGTCTAGTGCGGGAGGTCTCTTGTCGAGATGCGCCAGGGGCGTTTTTACACGAGCTCTTTGTTGCTGCCTCTGCTCGAATTGCGGCTATTGTTGTTATGATGAGAGGCGGATGCAGGTTAGCAATGGCGTGCTTCGTTGAAAATTTTTCATCGTTAGATGATAAAAAATTTAATCGCGAACGTCAGTGATACGGTCTTCCTCTCTTTAGATAAACTGGATATACGTGATGGGAAATGCATATGTCGCACCGATTCGACACATGCATCTCCTATGTCGGCAGGATACGCGTGTCCTGTTGACGATCGATAAGGATTAATCGCTGCCGTACCATTGATTGGTTATTGTTAGAGCGCTATTCAAATAAAATTGGATCAGCCTTCGAAATCCCCAGCACTCGAAACACAAGAGTGTAAACGATGTTGGCGTTCACTCGAAAGTGTTGCGACGCATTGTAATTGGTACACATGTAGAATGGTCATTCACATGTGTTGACATGCAGATATGAACGGATTTTCCATTTTCGGATATTTTCTCATATATAGGAGAAAGAGCGACGGATGAGAAAAAAGCGACAGCAGGAGGAGCTGGCACAGCAGCAGCAGCAACAGTTACAGCTGCAGGAGCCCTTTTACGTTCGCGCGAATGCATCGACGTTCACTAGCACCGTGGAAATTAAAGCCAGCCCGAAAGACGAAGTTTCGAGTCTTGGTTCCGGTGACAGACCAAATGTTACCATACTCGCACCAATCAGTATCTGCCTTGGCGCGATGTTGTGCTACATCATTGCCGGAGCATTCACTCTGCATAAATTGGATGGTTGGTCATTCATAGGTAAGTTCCGCTCATGTTAGAAAAAAAAACTTTATAAATTGTGTTCAGTGTTGCGTTATCTATATCAACGTGAATTTCAGTAGTTTTTAATATAAATGCATATTGATGAGCCTCAAAGCGTTTAAAAAAAAAAAAATTAACGTGATCGTTTTTCTGTATCCGTATCAGATTGGCATAAATTCTGCGACGTATTACATATAGTGCAGTATATGTAAACATGATATATGTACATATATATATAAAGTTTATACTCTCTAAAAGCTAACGGCTAGCGCTTCTTCCACATTTAGATGCAAGCTATTTCTGCTTCATGAGCCTGAGCACTATCGGCTTCGGCGACATGGTGCCCGGTTCTTATCCTCGCCACACCCTCGCCGACTCGAGAAACGTGACAGTCTGGTTTTGCTCCTGCTATATAATGTCAGGAATGGCCCTGACGGCGATGTGCTTCAACATCCTCCACGACGAAATTGTCCATCGGCTGAGTCACCAAACAGACAAGCCGGAGCCGGTGAAGCCAAGCTCGTCTGTAGATGAGCTGTCGACGGATCCGTTCGCTCTGACTTCGTGACAATTTCCGTCGGGCAATCTGTGCCACAGGAACGGCACCGACGAGAACAATATATGTGGCACGGAACCACCTACCAATATATTCGCGCACGAGAATGAGATCAACATCCTAAAAGACACCTTCAATCAGGTAGACGTTACTAGAGATTGCAAACCGATCCTGAAGCTTGAGGATCATGTCCCACCGATCTCTGCTGTCTATATGTTACCCAAGGTCGACGAAGAGGCCGAGGAAAATACGGAAATGTGAAACTTAGACGCGGATTTCCGGAGAATGACAGTCTGGCGGCCAGGTTCAATCAATTGGAGATTACCTAGCAGTGTTTTTATGGCTCGTAATCCAAATGAATAGGTATATATAACATGTTATATATGCTAAAAAAAAATGCGTGTTGTCAGATCGCGACAAAAACGTTTTTGTTGGATCTATTATTAACGTTGAATTCATAGTTAAGACCCACTAATGACTTTAATAAAGTCATGAAAGTAATGGTGCTCAAAATTTATATTTTTGTTTTTTTTTATTAGAAGTATAAATATAGTGTTATAAAATTTTTCAAACATATGAATTTTTAAAATTTAATTATTATATACTTTCGTTACTGAAGTTGTCTATTAATATCTTTCTTTTACGATGTGATAAACAATTGTATATAATGTTTTTACACTATCTTAATATATTGTACTATTTTACATGTCTAAATTCAACGATTAATGATAGAATCATTAATACGTTTCCATTAGTGATACTAATTAGTAATACTAATGAATATGCAGAGCGTTATCTGGAACACATTCGAAAAATTCAAAAATGATAAGTGCTTAAACCGTTGATGCAAATAGGACGTCCTCCTTGAAATCAATATAAAATAGATTTCATTTTCGCTTATATATAATAAGAATAATACATAAATTAATAAAAATAGAAATTCAATAATTTAATTTTTTTGTTCCAATCATTTTATTATTATTATTTCTTTCATCTCGAAATTTATATCACGATCGTAACTGAAACAAAATAGTAATAGCGTGATATAATATTGAAATTTTCTACTTCTATATAAATGATTTTAATTTTTAAAGTATCTTTATAATTATATATCATGTTTTTGATACAGTATCTTACATAAGTTTTAAGTAATAGACAACCAAGATAGGCAAAGGAGAAATTCAAATGTAGAAATTTCTTGAACTTTTATTAGACATTGTTATGTTAATTTTGAAGTGTCTTTAATAAATATTTGCTAGATATTCCTAAAATAGTATGAAGTTACTTTCACAAAAGGATATATCAAAAAGATAAAATGCAAATGATTTTGCCGAAGTTTACTTTACGCTGATTTTATCGCTAAGGATACAAATTAAAGATAGTAGTTTCAAGATACAGACATGCCATTTAAAATTGCTGCTCGTAAGTGCAGTCACTTTGCGTCGTGTATTTTAAAGTAATACGAATTAATTGAAGAAATCACGAAGAGTACAAAATTCCACAGGAATTGAAGCTATGAGTAATTAGCCATTACGATTCAAACATTTGCGTACCGACATTAACGATAGGAAATTACATTTACGTCGTCGATAAAATGAATAGAGCAAATGACCAGCATAAAATAATTTCCCAAGGGGCAATAGTGCATTTCATTCGCGACTGGTATGCTGTTCGTGCGCGGGAATGTTGAAACTCCTCTTTTATTTCCCTATTTTCTTTATTCGCGTCACGTATACCGCTGCTGTTTCCTAAGAAACTGTGGAATCGTCTGAAAAATTGATATTTCTTCAATATAAATAACTTAAAAAAACAATGTCTTAAAGAATGCTTTAGGTACTTTATACAAAAACGAGATACTAAGATAAAATTCTGAAAATATTTCAACATAAATAGAGAAGATCGAATATGCACATATGAATCTCTAAACGTAAATTTTAAAGATTTTAAATTAGATTTTTCCTCAAAAATCGATATACATATTGTGTTGCGGAAGTACTTTTATCATTCGTTTTACGATCTATTTTTGCGAAAGTCTAACTCATGATCAAATAACAGAGCTAGCAATGACCTTTGAATAAATATATTTTTCGAATAATAACATCATAATTCAAGTGAAAACTTTCAAAATCAAAAGTTTTTTTTTTTTAATTAATTTCATGTTTTTTTTTCTGATAATGAGATTGAGTTCATGCTTGATATTGATTTTTTAAGCACGGAGTGAAATCTTTTGATTGTGAACGAAATCGGTCTAGATGTTCCCACGGATTTGAGCGTAGCTCACCTATTTAATATTCAATGAGATTTCGAGGACGTTCTGGCTTGCGAACGGAGATCGACTTAATGTTTCTACACGCCTACTTAGATAGGGACATGTAAGAATTTTTTATATTTCCGTATTTAAGCGTTCACAAAGTAAACGCGTTCTTATCTGTAATATAATTAAGCTATCGATCCTTGCGTCTAGCTCAGACAGATTGTGTCTGATAGGAAAGGTATACACATACGCGGTTACTTGCGCGCGTACCAGTTTATTAATCGATCTGTCACTTTTCCTATGTCCTTGCAATTCTACCTGTAATTTCAATCACACTGCCGTACAGAAAGCTGCGAAGATAGCAATCCGATTGTCGTTGAACAAAGATTACATTTCCGGAGAATGGTAGGAACAATTAATGGAATGTAGCATTCAATGGAATAAAGGAATTATTTAAAGATATTGATTGTTCAAATATACAAATAAAATCTACGGAATATTTTAATTGTAATGTTAACTCGGCGAGTTAGAAGAAATGATCATTTGTTCAGCGATAATTGTAGCAAATCTTGTAATATTGTAATAATAATTAGTAATGTGTTATTTGTTATACTGCCATCTGGCTGGACGCTAGAATCTAATGAATGAATGAAATCAAATTCTGTGCTCAAGAACAATAACTAAGGTATTTACGGATAGGCATTAATCCCTAAGGATATTGCGTTTAGGACGACTATCCCTGTTCTTTCATATTGATACTCGAATAGTCTACGAAAAAAATGCGTAAACAAAGCATAACTGTGAATTAACAGTAAATGATTATTTTCGCTGCGTATGGGGCGATCTGTGTGCATGGCGATTAATATTATGAGCATGTCACATCTATGTTGCCACATTATAAATATTCTTTACATATCCTTACGCGGATATAGATTATATAATTTAAAATCTAATATAAAGATAGAATAAAATATATGTTAAATTTAACTTGTATTTTTTTTTATATTAGATAAATTTTTTTTGCGAGTATGATGTGAAAACTGCGTCAAACTGATGTGAAATCACGCACGATACAGAGGAATGAAATGGTTCCAGAGCGATTTAAAAAGTGTCCCTTCTTCTGTTTCCTGTAACATATCATACAGTGTAAGGGATTTTGTCGGCCGTCTCTTCACTTACGAGCAATCGTACGCTCGATATTAAAAGCGCCGAGTGAATCGCTGAGAAGGCTGTAGAGCCCCGCCGTGCAGCTTGCAGGCGAGAGAATTTCGTACGGTGTCTAATGACAATCGATACTGGCTTGAGCAGTTGCTAGAGTTATCGTTATCACTCCGTCGGTGATTCGATGGAGGGTCGTGGCCGGCAGCCAAGACAAACTTTACTTTGGTGCTCGTACCAGGCCATCCAGCCATCGATCCAACCCGCCCGTACAAACTTCCTCACACTCGAGTTCGAGTCGGGCGCTTGCTCCAAGCTGGCGCTACGGCGATTTGTTGCGAGAATCTATTTACAACTTTCCATATACGTCCCCGTGTACGCGAGGAAACGTGCAATAACCGTCGGCGTGTCACGATTGCGAATGCCGAAAGAAATGCTTAAAAGTTGGCCGCTGCATTTCTTGATTAAAAATAGGGTACTTTGAAAAAAAAAAAGAGAACGATATCACGCGATTGATATTTTGCGTAACGCTTTGATTAAAGTTGTATTAATCGATATTCTTGTATGGTACTTAGGACTTACAGTTTTCTTTTAGTCGTGCTATTTTAGATCTTTTAATTCTTTCGAAGTTTCTTCTCGAGATAATAAACTCATTTACGAGGTGAACTTGTGAAGCGAATTAAAGTTTGACGTAACTTTTCACTGCGAATATTGAATTCGTTAAATGTAAGCGAATTTGGCTACAGCAAGAAAACATATATATATTGTATCGTGTCATCATTTTATTATTTGAAATGAAGAAAATTTAAAAAAAAACATGCGCAATCTTGCATCTTTTAAAATGTTTAAAATTGATATTATTAATTATCTAGTTTTCAGTACGATTTTGATAATATATAATATTCTATACTGTTTCAATTATTATATTATTTTCAATAAGAATAAGAATAGAAGTATGACTATCATTTCGATTCTTTTATTTTTTCAATATTATTTCTTTTTGATTTATAATTTTCTAACAGATTATGAAATGAGAGTGCATTATCTCACAAGAAAAAAGAAACTTTATTTTCCTTGATTAGCATAATTATCTCATTAGAAAATATATAGCAGATTGTGGTTAGTAATTTTTTACATCCATATATATAACGCTGTCTATGAGTCTAGAACGAGGTCCCAACGCGGCAAAAGTCCAGACCGGCTTCTCTCCTTTCACAGGATTTTCTTTCCTATGTAGTTCCTCATCTTTCGCCCTTACGTTCCGGTTTCCTCTGTCGTACTCCAGGGAAATATAACCGAGTTCAAAGCTCTCGATGGTCGACACGAAACTTTAGCGCGACAATTTTGCACGAGAAATATCCAATGAAAGTCAAACTCCACGGGATTCAGCCTCATTGGTGCGTTTCAACCTTGGGAAAAAAAAAGAGCGAAGAAAAGCAAAGCTAGTCCGACCTTCCAACAATCGACTTAATGGAATTAATGGTTTTCTGCTGTCGCCTTACGTATTCATTCTACGCGCGAATCAGCCTGTGAGCTCGTCGAGTTTTCGAAAACTTCGGAAAGTCAAATCTATGTCTCTTGATACTCAATTGCGCTTCTACCGAGAGCAATTAGTGTTCTTGCTACTTCTGGCTACTGTCATTTCAAAGGATCTGAGTAAAGTGCTACTAAATTACAGCAA